ACCATTTGAATCATGTGGCAACCAATGCTGCAGAACTTGGGCTCCAATATTGTGAAAGTAATGGGCAGCGTGCAAAGGTTTGCTATGGACACCACAAAGCCAATTTCCCATGGCTTCCATCCGCCCAACTTCCACACTGCTTTGCACCATCCCATCAGCTAGGCTTCCGGCAACAACCGATCAAGTTCTTATACCCATCGCCTGAAGCCTGAGAGATCCAAAGATAAAAGGTGAAGAGCTCTCCCACTTATATCATCCACTCCACTGGCAAAAGGGCGGTCCAATCTCTCTCCCAGTCGCATGCCCAAACGATACTCAAACGCGCGTAAGTATACATAATTCTGCCTTAGGTCCGGGCTGGATTTGGCAACTGTAAGTTGCAGACCCAACCCTGGTAGCAGAGGCCAGAAACAGCACGAAGATGCGGGACCTTCGTTGGGGGTCTACTTGGGAGTTTCATTGCGCAATCAGCAAAGGCCGCAACACCGCAAGTCAACAAGACACCTACTAGGACAGCTCTGCCGTGAATCAGAAACTGACAATCTGCAAATACCGCAAAGCACCATTTTACCAGCTGAAGGTCGAAACGCACCCTTCACCTTCAGGCTCAAGCTTGGAAGCTTCAGGCTTCCCAAAATGACTACCAACAAGCCAACGCCAACTCAAGGAAAGGCCAATGGGGGTGTTGCTACACACTTTGGCTTTGGAAATGATGCTTCGGCTGGCTTGCAAATGATGCTGCACAGCTCAGCTCATAGGCGTAAGCGCATATGCATTTTGGTCAACTGTGCGTAAAAACGCTAAGAAGCGCTTGCAGCCTGCATTTGCTTCGGCCGGAGAGAGCGGTGGCGCCATGCTAGTGGCCACCTCTCTCAGCTTCTCATACACATGCAGACAAGCTAAAGTTAGAAGAAAGCGGCTTCTCGGACATTGACTTCCCCGCGAAGTACTTCTGAAAGTAGCTTGGCGTGCGTGCCACGAGCTCTTGCCACACAGGCCTTGGGTATGGCATCTGTGATGTCTTTTTGTAAACCCTGTATTTCTGGGCATGCATGGTCAATTGGGCCCCTGCGCAATTCCTAACTTAAATTCACAGGGATCCAATCGATCAGGAATCGCATTTTGGGCTGCAACCAGGGAACGCGTGTTTCTTGGAGAAAATGCCAAACATGTACACGCAGATCTTGCCATCCTGGCTCACCAACTCCTTCTGTGAAGCCTTCTCAAAGAGCTTCCGGAGCTCCTAAAGAAAGGTTTGCCGCCCACAGGGATGATGGTAGCTGAGAAAATCGTCTACACCCCGTGCATAAATCCAGTCCAATCCCAACCAGCTTCTCACATGCTGCTCTTAGATGTTCCATTCTGGAAAAAGAAAACGCACTTTGGAAACTAGACCTGTGATAAAGTGGCACAGCCTTCGATCTTCCGATCTGATTGTCCTAGCGGCTTAACCCATCCGACACGAGCAGCCAACGTAAAGTCCTGCATGTAGGCTTCAATCTGATCATGGCCGGCCTTGTTGTTCGGAAACGAATTGATTCCAAGAAGAGGCTTCGCCTTTTCCTGTGGCACCCAATACAGCTTCGGCATAAACAAAGGACGGATTCCATGCAGATGTGCTCCACACGGCTCCCACGAAAATTCTTTGCGTGCTCCATGGAGAAGGGCGGCACGGAGCGCTTGCCCCGCAATGTCACTCACACTTCTGGTTGACTGGTCTGGCAGGAAAGTAGACTGCTCATCTTTTTCCACCTCACCCTTCCGCCACTGCATCAAATGCTTGCGATGCGTGGCCAAGACCGCTGTCTTGCAAGTGGTGACCGCTGCAAGTCGCTTTATGTCGCCGAAGTGGTGTTCGGCTGCGTCTTCCATGCACGACCGCAAACTGAACGGGGTGCAGGCATCCTGTCGGCGCGTCCGCTCCACTGCGTTGCCAGCAACCATCATGAGGTTCCGGGTAGTGGTGCTTGCCAATCGCGGTCGCGCCTCGCGCTCTTCTGGGTCGTTTGCCGGCTGCTCGGCCATATAGTCGGCCATATGCTGTTGTGTTGCCCGCCTCCACGCAGGCCTCCACGCCTCCTGGAACGGAGTGGCACAATTTTTTGTAGAAGCCGCTATCGATTAAACAGAGCTAAGAAGTGATAGTAGAAGTGATATGTGTCAGCGTCAAAATTAATTCTATGTTCTCGTGCATTTTCGTGCTGATTTTGTAAGTTCCCCATCGGTTTCCAGTGTTTTGTGTTTGCAAGGTGGTGGCTGTTCTAGGAAGGGGTGGAGCAGGGCAGTGTCGTGGTGAGACCTGTCTGTCATTTGTACTGTAAGTGAACCCAAAGAGCTGAACAGCTGCATGACTGGCTAGCTCAGTCGGTAGAGCGCAAGGCTCTTAACCTTGTGGTCGTGGGTTTGAGGCCCATAGGGTGTATTATTTGGTTATCATTCAGGGGAGCGGGACAAATGAGAAACCAATCGATACCCCTATCGATACCCCATCGATACCTTGGTGACTGGCCCAACCCTCAAATGTGATGCCTTCTGCACCCAATACGAAAGCCACTTGTAAAAGTACGAGCGCGGACTTCAGTTGCAAAAGAACAAAACCTCCTCACCCATGTCCACCCATTGCTTGAAAAGAGGAAGCAGAGCGCAGAGAAGCAAAAAGAAAGGTCGGCAAAAAGAAAGGAGGTGCAGCCCTCGGGCTCTTCTTCGTCATCGTCTGGATCAAACACCTCGGACTCCTCAGACTCTACAATGCTGAGCGAAAAAAGGTTCTGTCCGAGCTTCGTCGGCCGCGTCGTCTGTCTCGTTGCTCGCGGCATCTTCCTAGGCAGATTTTTGATGGCTTCGACATTTCAGGAATCTGAAGTTACGACCCCCCGGAAGATTAACATGGAACCTGAAAATTACCCATTGGAAGACTACTTTCCTCTACAAACCAGTGGTTTTCAGGTTCCATGTTAATCTTCCGGGGTGTGGTTTCTTCATGTTTCTTCTAAAAGTGGATGTGGCTTAGCAAAGAAGGCTAAGTAGTTGCCAACAGCAACTAAAAAGAAGTCGAAAAAACATCTCAAAACACCAGTCACACCCCGTGCAAAGTGTCTTCGTAAAGTTGACTAAGCCCATGTAAGAAAAATTTGCCCTCAATGATGTCAATGTGTAGTTCAATGTGTGTGTAAACCCTTTCATCTCAAAAAGACTCGGACCAATTGGTATGGTCAAGTGGATGGTTCTTCCTAAATGGGCGGCCCATGTCCCATCCGAGCTTCGTTGGCCGCTCCACCAGTTGCTCCACCCACAGCAACCGGGCGAGCGCTGGTGCCACCAGTGTTCGCTTCCCCGGCCATCTCGGCCTTGGATTCTCTAGTGAAGCAATAAAAATGGAGGGTGTGTACGGAAAGGGTGTCAGCCAAAACTGCATCTACGAAGTTAGTACATCAAAAATACCTTCCACAAGGCTCTGCGAAGGCTTCTGTCTTTTGCACGGTTAGGTTTCCTAAAGGGCCACCATTCCACGACGAATGGTCCGTCCGAGCTTCGTTGGCTGCTCCACCAGAGTCTCCACCAGTTGCTCCACCCGAGGCCGCCGCGTCAGCGCTAGTGGCCGCAGCGCCCTCGTCTTCCCCAGCCTTGGATTCTTGAGTAAATGCAAAATGAGTGGCAAAATGGAAGGTATGCTTCTACGAAGTTCGTGCATCAACAAACCCTTCCACAAAGCTCTGCGAAGGTTTCTGTCTTTTGCACGGTTAGGTTTCTTGAAGGGCCACCATTCCACGACGAATGGTCCGTCCGAGCTTCCTCGGCCGCTCCACCAGTTGCTCCGCCCGAGGCAGCCGGGTCAGCGCTAGTGGCTGCAGCGCTCTCGTTTTCCCCAGCCTTGGATTCTTGAGCAAAGGCACAAAGAATAAAAAGGGTGTGTACGGAAAGGGCGTCAGCCAAAACTGTTTCTACGAAGTTGATACATCAAAAATACCTTCCACGAAGCTCTGTGAAGGCTTCTGTCTTTTGCATTCCTAAGGGCCACCATTCCATGACGAATGGTCCGTGACTGCAGCGAGGTTGCACAAATGTATGGGGCTGCTACGAAGTTAGTAGACATAGGCTTTTGCAAAACCCTTCCTTTTCTCCCTGAGTCTGGAGCGGCCGGCGTGCACTGGAGGTCTGGCATGCACAGTAACC